AGGTTTCGCAGATGAAGCACTTCGGAAGGATGTCTCAATAAGCTCAAGAACAGCATGAAGAACGACGAGAGACGTCCACCGAAGATTCATTCGGCGAAGATTAGCCAGACCATCCTCACAAGACTGTACCAGCGACATTTCCCGATGCGGAAGATGTTGACCCGATAGCGATACAGGCAGACGGATACTAGTGGCACAAGACGAGGAGCAGAAGTGGTTTAACATCAAGAAGGTGCTTCAGGGCCAAGCACAAGAGCTGAGTTACAAAGAAGCTCGAGATGCCTGGAAGTACGCTGACCGGTTCGTGTTATCAGAAGACGGCGTGCTTCACTATCTTGGGTTGAATCGTCGGTACGACCACGGTTGGCAAGAGGAGACCAAGCTGCGGCTTGTGGTACCGACAACGATGATTCAAGAGGTCTTGCAGAACTGTCACGACTCGCTGGAAGGAGGACATCAAGGTGTGGTGAGAACTTTCCATCGCGTTAAGTCCGATTATTATTGGATCGGCTTGTACGCTGACGTGGAGAAGCATGTGAAGTCATGTCTAGATTGCAGCTCGAGTAAAAGCCGTCCGCAGCTTCGCGGATACTCACCTGGCAACGTACTAGCCGAACGACCTTTCCAGATCGTCTCGATGGATTTTGTGATCCCACTACCGAAATCTCGCAGGGGCAACACGGCGTTGCTCCTATTTCAGTGCTCGTTCACGGGATTCGTTATTGCCAAGGCTATGTCAGATACGACTGCACTGAGTGTTGCCCAAGTGTTCGAAGAATGTGTGTACCGACGGTTCGGAGCCCCATCATTAATAAGGCATGACCGCGACCCACGCTTCATGAGCGAGGTGTTCCAAGCGTTCGCAGAGATGATGCAGTCAAGATCACGGGCGACTTTGAGCTATCGGCCACAGGCTAATGGACAGCAGGAACGCTCGGTGAAGTCAGTGATGGGTTCCGTACGGGTGTACGCGGAAGACCCTCTACAGCAAGATTGGAATGAAATCGCAGAGAAGCTGGTGTTTGCTATTAATACTTCTCAGGACACTACAAGGAAGGAGCCACCGTTCTACCTCGTTCATGGTTGGGATGCGCAGTCGACGTCGCGGGCAATGTCGTCATCACTCAAACGAGGACTCGGCAAGCAGTCTGATGCACTAGCGTGGCGGCGTGAGATCAATCGACAACATGATGTCGCCCTCACTATGGTCAAAGATTATCAGGCTGTAGAAAAGGAGCGAAGAGCTAAAAAGCATAATGATGCTCTGAGTCGACTGGGAAAAAGCCGCTGTATCTCAACCAAGTGGAAACGAACACTCGGCGGACCCTCCAGAAGCTTCGGAAGAGATGGAAGATCCTGCAAGAGCCCCACCGAGATCTCTTTTTTGAGATTGGGAGCCGGGCGTGGTTGTACATGGAACGCGTCAAACCGGGCTTGACGAAGAAATTAGCTCACCGATGGCATGGACCTTTTCGGATCAAGCGCAAGGTGGAAGAGTTTGCGTACGAGCTGGAACTGCCGGACCGAAGTGGGTATCGCTTCTACCCAGTAGTGCATGTGTCGAGACTCAAAGCTGTCAACGAGTTCAACAGTCGACCGAACGCTCGGTTGGTACTTGACGCGACTAATGAAGCAAGACTCGACTTCGATGAGGAACTACTGCCTGAAGACAGCTGGGAACCAGATCAAGTTGCCGGTGAATATGAAGTCGAGGCCATCCTCGACGACAGAACACCCCTGTCGACGAGCACGGAGCGTGCTGTACGCGAGTTCAAAGTCAAGTGGGTGGGCTATGAAGATCCAACTTGGGAACCATCATCCAACTTGTCATGTGGAGGGCTGCTGTACGACTATTTGCGAGCCAAGAAGAGCGAGAATCGGCTGCAGATGGCGCAAGTGGTGGACGAAGACTAGCGTGACTGGATCACGTGTGAACTGTCCACAGGGCGAAGCAGCCTGTGGAAACAGACGAAAAAACGTTACTGCAACAACAAATTGTATATGCATTTGAAGAACAACATGAACATGATTACACTGTGGAAGTGGATTAAGAATAAGAAAACATGAATGCCGACCGGGGAGCGACCACTGAAAACGAAACTTCGCTGGACCCCTCAACAGTTAGCTGAGATGCTGGATAACGTCGTGGAACATGCAGCGAGGATTCAAAGCGATTCCAATTGCCTGGCCGCGGTGGCCAAGAGTGCCAACGAAGTCGAGTCACCACTCTCCTTCTCCTCTTCATCAGGAACCTGAGCCTCGGCAGCTGGAGCTGCAGCCGGACCCTGCGAATCCTCGGCACCAGCTTCAACAGGAGCAGCAGCCAGAGCGGGACGTGGAGTAACCAGTGGCGAGTCAAACAATGAACGCCAGGTCGGAATAACTTCAGTAGAATCCAGAGACGGGTCAACGATCACGCTTCGGTACACGTCCACGAAACGTGTACCACGAGAATTGAAGAACTCCGGATTACGCTGGCACGGGAAGTACGTGGTGTTGTACGGGTGCTGATGCGGCGCATTCATCCATCCAGTACGCCAGGGCTGACGAGCGTCGAGAGCCGGAACTTCGGAAAGCCAGTCAGATGTCAGAGGTGCGAACGGCAAGTTTTCAATTGGGTACCACGGCTTCGACGGCTCCAAAAGCAACTCGGGACGAATGAACGGCGCGCCGGAAGTACTAGAGGAAACCGAGTCACGACTCCACGCCATGTACTGTTCACGGTACTTGTTACGAAGACGATCGGCACGACGGTCGCGCTCACTGAAGAGCTTCTTCAACGGAGCTCTCAGTTCCT